AAAAAAAAAAAAAAAAAGATGGAAATAACACTCAATAAATAAATCATAAAGAGCTGGGGAGTGAAGCCAATCAGAAGTGAAAGTCTGTTTCCAGCTCTAAGGAGACAGACTGGGTCTTAGAGACGTTATCTGAACACCTGGCTACAGCCACACCTGAAGCCTGCCCTGTACCCTGCAGTTATGGTTCTATAAATCTTCTGTTTGGAACCCAAAGAATCAGGTGGCCACCTGTGATGGCAAACTTCTTGTGTACTCACCTGCTTGTTTGCAGGAGAAGGCAAAGACGATGATGTCATCAAACGACCAGGTGTAGTCAGGGTGGGGTGGATAGAAGGCCAAGTTCCTGGATGCTGCCTTTCGCAGGTCGATCAAGAAGGTCGAGTGCACCATGGGAACCGCAAAGCAGCCCCGGCGGTCCCGCTTGCGGATGGGGATGTAAGCAGGTGTGCGCTTGTAGTAGCCCTATGGAGACCAGGAGACAGTTCTGAGGAAGGCAGCAACAGCAGCAGCCATGGAACAAGCCAGTTAGTAACTGGTTCAGAGGTAAGGAGAGAGAATGAGACGGCCCATTCAGAGTGGACTTGGTGCCAGTTTCCAAATACAGTGGAGAATCCCTGAGGACCAGGCTCTTGGTACCACCTAGAGATACACAACCCCTCATAGACCAAGCTCACCATGTCAGACCAGAAAGGCAGTGTTTGAAGGGGGAAATTCAAAAGCTGAAAAACAGACTGGGCATCTGAGATCCTTTGAATTACATTGTAATTAAAGTTCAGATGTATGATATCAAGGAGGGGGGATTTCTCAGAAGAGAAGTTTCAAAATCTTATGGAACAATCTGGAGTTGGCATCTCTCTTCCTTGTACCCTTTACAAATTAGTAGTATATAACCTTTAGAATATAACATTTTAAAAAATAAAAACACTCAACTGTTTACTCTAAAATGCAGAGTTTTATGTTATATGAATTTTACCTCAATAAAAAATGAAAAGACAGTAGGAGACAGAAAGGGGCAGTGTCTTAGCTCCAGCCATCCCAACCCGACCCTCTTCCCCTGGCCACAGTCCCTGATCTAGCACCCAGCCTTTCCCTTCCCCTAGCTTTGCACAGAACCCCAGATTCAAGCCCGGGGGTGGGGGGACTTGTGACCAGGCACAACTAATCAGATCCTTGTATTTTTCTGGCTTCAGTAACTATTTCAGGGCTAGAGATGACACAGGAGATGGACCAATCAGAGTAGACTTTGACTGGATGCTGATGGGATCATTCCTGAACAGTCTTAGAATGAAACCACCCAAGAGATGGAGAAAGACAGCTGTCTGCTTGCCTGGATCAAGCCATGCCTGAAGTCCCACCCTCATATACACCACCACTATCTAGGTGTCTGAGTTTAGGCAAGTCACTTCCTCTGTGTTTCTAGTTCCATCTCAGTACTGGACAGAAGGAGACAATCACATTCTCTCTCTTCCTCTTTCCCTTCCTTCTTCAAGGGACTGTTTAAGGATTACCATGATGGTGTTTATAGAATACTCACTACAAGGTTGTATGATAAGTTAGACTTACCAGCCATGACACCCACTTGCTCAGCCCAGGGCCCCAACCTACCTGGGAAGTCATTCCGCACCAGAAGTTGGAATACGCAGCCCGGGAATCCAGCATTGGGGCAACCACTGTCTTGTTCTCAGCAATGAGCAGGCTCAGCGTGTCAGGGTTGAGCAGCAGATTGTCTGCATCCACAAACTGCAAGACACACAACACAGCATAAGCATGAGTTGCTGGAGTGACCCCAGGTCAGGCCACACCTCAGAACAGATGAGGCAAAGGCCAGATTACTGGGGTCCGGTGAAGACCCCTGGAAATATTCCCTCCCAGTCCTTAGGACTCTACCCTTAAGAATAAGCTGCATGTCGGGCAGAGTGGCTCATTCCTGTACTCCTAGCACTCTGGGAGACTGAGGATTGCTTGAGCTCAGGAATTCAAGACCAGCCTGAGCAAGAGTGAGACCCCATCTCTACTAAAAATAGAAAAACTAGCAGGGCATTGTGGTGAGCTCCTGTAGTCCCAGCTACTTGGGAGGCTGAGACAAGAGGATTATTTGAGCCTAGGAGATTGAGGTTGCCATGAGCTACGATGCCATGGCACTCTCTGGAGGGTGACAAAATGAGACTCTGTTTAAAAAAAAAACCCACTAACATGGGTTACCATGGTGGAGCAAGAGCGCCTGTTATTTCCCACAAAAATGTGTTACCAACATATCCCATGAAGGCTACAAAGGACACAGTGTTCATCACATAAACTGGGAAGAACTCAAGAGTCTAGCAGTGGTGAAACACTTAGAAAAATTCTGCCTCCATCTTGAGACAGAATAAGATGCAACCACTTAAAATCACACCATAAGAAGCAATTAGGTAACGATGTTAGGTGAGAATGTATCACAGAACTACTAGGAGGTTTGTTGTCCTTTAAAAATATATATTTATGGTCCACAGATATGCTTTCTGTTACCATGCAGTATTTTTAGAACATTTGCATCAATTGCCATGAACACCAACAACAAAAACTTAAATTTCAGCCTTTCCTGGCAAGGTGGGATGGCACACACACCCAGCAACCCTTGGCTGGGAAGGACAGCAGCTGCCCCTGGGACAAGTTGTACAGTTATGTTACATTCCCCACCCAGTCCCCACAAACTTTTTAATCTGTGACCTTTGAATATAAATGCAGAAAAAAGCCCGAGCAGTCTGGGGTTTCCTCAGAAAGTTAAACGCAGATTTACTACATGCTCCAACAATTCCATTCCTAGGTGTTTACCCAAGAGAAGAGCACTGAAAGCAAGGCCTCACACAGGCACTTGTATACATGTGTTCACAGCAGATTATTCGCAAAAGCCAACAGGTGAAAGAAAGCAAAGCAACCCATGTCCATCAACAGATGAGCAGATAAACAGAATGTGGTCCATCCACACAGTGGCGTATTATTCAGCCATTAAAAGGCAGGAAGCACTGACTCCTGCCACAAAGAGGATGAACCTCAAAACTGCTGCTGAGTAAAGGAAGCCAGACGTAAAAGGCCACACAGTGGGGGCAGTGCCTGTGGCTCAGTGGGTGGGGCGCGGGCTCCATATACCGAGGGTGGTGGGTTCAAACCCAGCCCAGGCCAAACTGCAACAAAAAAATAGCCGGACATTGTGGCAGGCGTCTGTAGTCCCAGCTAGTCGGGAGGTTGAGGCAAGGGAATCACCTAAGCCCAGGAGTTGGAAGTTGCTGTAAGCTGTGACGCCATAGCACTCTACCCAGGGTGATAAAGTGAGACTCTATCTCTAAAAAAAAAAAACGGACAGATTTTGCTACTTCCAACCTAGGATGTGAGTTAATGTTTCTTAAGAGAAGAAAGGAGAAGAGGAGGGAGAGAAGGAAGAGGGGAGTAGATTGTGTGGGAAATAGAACTTTGGAATGGAAAGTTGCAGACAGAAACTTTACTGAGGATTGCTCTCTGCTGGGACTCCTGGGAGGATGACAGAAAGCAGGATGGTGTGGAAGAGG